CCTGCTGGACACTAGAGAGAATGCAGCTTTAACACGTGAAGCTTTGAAGAACCGGAGGGTTATATTCTAAATAACACGATGAGAGCAATAAACTGATAAAACATAAACTTACGTTCTAAATGGATCGTCTGTCATTGTTTCCTTCCTCCTGGTCTTCGTCAATAATATTATATAATATTATATAATATTATATAATATTTATAAATAACATGTTAATCCTCGTTCAGAGCATATTGAAAGCTGGTGATCAGAGTTATTTAACGTGAGAACATTTAGAGGGTTAGATGCTGATAATAGTTATTATATTATATAGATATTATATTGTTATTATATTTTCTTGCTTTCTAGCCATCAGGAATAAAGTTCTGGTGGAGAAAAAGTTCATTCATTCATTTATTGTTGTTTGCTTGAGAAACATAAAGTTTAAAAACATTTACAGATCCATGACTCAGCCATAAAAAGCCTCCATGTGTGAGTTCTTCATTCAGGAGATTTGAAGTCTCTGGTTCTGATGAAAACAAGTGAAGCTTCAAAGTGTCCACGCTGCCCCCTGCTGGCCACACGCCTCAGCTGCTTCACACAGACAACAATCAGAGACTCACAGAGGCAGAGGCGTCCATCCTGAAGCCTGCAGGGCGTCAGGGGACAGGAGGTGAGGAGGACAGGGGGACAGGAGGTGAGGAGGACAGGGGGACAGGAGGTGAGGAGGTGGGGAGGTCAGAGGTCGGAGGTCAGAGGACAGGAGGTGAGGAGGTCAGAGGTCTCCAGGCTCTTCAGCCACAGCCCCAGGGCGAACTTGGTCCCGGTGCTGACCCGCTCCACGTCCGGGCCGATGACCGGCTCCCGGCCGACCAACACCTCCACAGACAGAGAGGAGTCACTCAGAGCTCCTTCTGAGGACACCTGAGACACACTGGAGGAGAGGAGGAGGAGAGGAGGAGAGGAGGAGAGGAGGAGAGGAGGAGGAGAGGAGGAGGAAAGGAGGAGAGGAGGAGGAAAGGAGGAGAGGAGAGGAGGAGAGGAGAGGAGAGGAGAGGAGGAGAGGAGAGGAGGAGAGGAGGAGAGGAGGAGGAAAGGAGGAGAAGAGGAGAGGAGGAGGAAAGGAAGAGAGGAGGAGAGGAGGAGGAGAAGAGGAAAGGAGGAGAGGAGGAGAGGAGAGGAGAGGAGGAGGAGAGGAGGAGAGGAGAAGAGAGGAGAGGAGGAGGAGAGGAGGAGAGCAGAAGAGGAGGAGAGGAGGAGAGGAGGTATGACTTCATCTGTATTCTGTATCTTGATAAAAATATACTTATTTACGCCTTATAAGTCTCTGGTGTCGACCTGTCAATCACTGTGTAGCCCCGCCCTAAAGCATCCCCTGCTTTATGGTCTGTGTGACTCTAAATGGACCATAATGTACTAAATGAACATCATGCTGTATTGAAGAAGACTTGAAACTAGAGATTGAGACCATAAACTCATGTTTAGAATGTTTACTGAGGTAATAAATCAAGAGAGAAGTAGAGTCCTCCTCTACAGATGTGATACCTGACGGTGGTCTGCAGGTGGTCCAGTGGAACCTCTCCGTCCTCTCCGTCCACAGAGGACACGACGGCTCTGACCAGCTGGCTGTCGGCCCACAGACAGGCACTGACCTCAGCAGGAAACGGCCTCAGAGACGCCTGCAAGACAACCAGAGGAGGAAAAAAACCCAGTGAAGACAGTTCTGATGATGTCACAGTGTACTGGAGGACACAGTGATGTCACAGTGATGTCACAGACGTACCTGATGCTGCAGGTGAGAGAGAGGAGAGAGAAGCAGCATGTAGACCACGATGTGATGTCTCTGAGGAAGACCTCTGGACAACATGGGAGGAAAGACTGACTGAGAGGAGGAGAGGAGGAGGACAAGAGGACAAGAGGAGAGGAGGACAAGAGGACAGACAGGGTTTAGTCACCAGGAACACATTTATTAAAGCTGCTCTACTTGTTACTGAACTACATCTCATGTAGTAGGAGAGGAGGAGAGGAGAGGAGAGGAGAGGAGGAGGAAAGGAGGAGAGGAGATCCTTCACTGTATTTATACAGTGAAGGATCTGAATACTTCATGTCTTTGTCTCACCCTTCCTGTCTGTCTGTCTGTGTGTGTGTGTGTGTGTGTCTGTGTGTGTGTGTGTCTGTGTGTGTGTGTGTGTGTGTGTGTGTCTGTGTGTGTGTTTCTGTGTGTGTGTTTCTGTGTGTGTCTGTGTGTGTGTCTGTGTGTGTGTGTGTCTGTGTGTGTGTGTGTGTGTGTGTGTGTGTCTGTGTGTGTGTGTGTGTGTGTGTGTCTGTGTGTGTGTTTCTGTGTGTGTCTGTGTGTGTGTCTGTGTGTGTGTGTGTCTGTGTGTGTCTGTGTGTGTGTGTGTCTGTGTGTGTGTTTCTGTGTGTGTGTGTGTGTGTCTGTGTCTGTGTGTGTGTTTCTGTGTGTGTCTGTGTGTGTGTCTGTGTGTGTGTCTGTGTGTGTCTCACCTCCCACAGCCCCAGTACTTTAGGAGAAGCTCCTTCTGGTTCCAGCTTCAGTCCAGTCTCCTCCTTCAGCTCCCTGAGGCCGGCCTCCAGCAGCTACACACAATAACACAATAATTCTGGTGGGAAAGAGACTTTTTATTCAAGAGAAGAAGAAACAGAAAAAGATTTACCGTCTCATCGGGCTCAACATGGCCGCCTGGAAAGAAACATGAAGGTTGAAAAAGAAATGTGAGCAGCACAGATCCAGATATACTGACAGTTAATCCAAAAACACTACATCCTACGTTTCCCACAATGCAACAGGCCCTTTAATAGGCATTAGTCAGACCTGGAGGAACCCAGACGTTGGGAAATATACGAAGCTCCTTCGCCCGCCGTGTCAACAGCACTCTCTGATTGGCTGTCTGCAGGATGATGGCCACGCCCACGTCTACTCCGCGCTGCTGAACGCTCAATGGTATCGCAGCTGCCTCCGTGACTGACAGGTGTTTGATGGGACAGAAGGCGGGCCTCTAGGAGACAAGAGGACAACAGGAGTTACTGAGATGGGGGGGAATTAATAAAGATGGAGGGTCATCATGTGTACAAAAAAATTAATTCTTAATGTACAATAATACCGTTAAACACGGAGTTAAATATAATATAAATATAATATAAATATAATATGAATATAATATAAATATAAAATGAATATAATTATAATATAAATATAATACAAATATAATATGAATATAATATAAATATAATATGAATATAATTATAACATAAATTTAATATAAATATAATATGAGCTCAGGTTATTTGGAGACTCGAAATTGCCCTTAGGTGTGAATGTGAGTGTGAATGTTTGTCTGTCTCTATATGTGCCCTGCGATGAACTGGCGACCTGTCCAGGGTGTACCCTGCCTTCGCCCAATGTCAGCTGGGATCGGCTCCAGCGCCCTGCGACCCTGAACAGGATAAGCGGTTCGGATAATGAATAATATGAATATAATATAAATATGATATGATTATAATATAATTATAATATGAATATAAATATAATATGAATATAAATATAATATGAATATAATATGAATATAAATATAATATAAATATAATATGAATATAATATGAATATAAATACAATATAAATGTAATATAATATGAATATAAATATAATATAAATATAATATGAATATAAATATAATATAAATGTAATATAATATGAATATAAATATAATATAAATTAGTGCTGGGCAAGTTAACGCATTATTATATTAAATTGTGGGTAAAGTGTCTTTATTCTTTAATCACTGGGTCACCATCATCACCTCTGAGTTACAGCATTATATTGATGAAGAGTAGAGCTGCATCACATGCTCTGACTGTCATGAAGACAGACATTTTTGCTGAAACGTGTGGAACATGTTGTTCCTGTTGCACAGCAGTGGAACGTTTCACACACAGTCACACACTGAGCACAGATAGTGAAGAGATAGAACTGCTGCTGTGTGAAGAGAACACTGCTGCTAACAACAACCTGATGTGTTTAAAGTGTTTACACACAATGTTATTCACCTTTAGTTCATAGAGCAGCACTTTCAAAATAAAAGTGCACAATACACTACTTTTGAATTCATTGTTGAACTTTGCAATAACAATGCGATAAATCGCGATTAATCGCAAAAAATCCATGCGATTAATCGCGATTAAAAATTGTAATCATTGCCCAGCACTAATATAAATATAATATAAATATGATTATAATATAAATATAATATGAATATAATTATAATATAAATATAATATGAATATAATATGAATATAATATAAATATAATATAAACAAAATATAAATATAATATGAATATAATATAAATATAATATGATTATAATATAAATATAATATGAATATAAATATAATATAAATATAATATGAATATAATTATAATATAAATATAATATGAATATAATTATAATATAAATATAATATGAATATAATATAAATATAATATAAACAAAATATAAATATAATATGAATATAATATAAATATAATATGATTATAATATAAATATAATATGAATATAAATATAATATAAATATAATATGAATATAATATAAACATAATATAAATATAATATGAATATAAATATAATATGAATATAATATGAATATAATATAAATATATGAATATAATATAAATATAATATGAATATAATATGAATATAATATGAATATAAATATAATATGAACATAATATGAATATAAATATAATATAAATATAATATGAATATAAATATAATATGAACATAATATGAATATAAATATAATATAAATATAATATAAATATAATATGAATATAAATATAATATGAACATAATATGAATATAAATATAATATAAATATAATATGAATATAAATATAATATGAATATAATATAAATATAATATGAATATAAATATAATATGAATATAATATGAATATAATATAAATATAATATGAATATAATATAAATATAATATGAATATAATATAAATATAATATGAATACAATATTTAGTGTCTGACCTTCAGAGGTGTCCCTCGTCCTCTCTGGAGGACAAACTGTCTCCTCTCCAGAGAGCAGATCACCTCCACCTCATCGTCTCCACCGTCACTGAAGTGACCCGTCACACTCTGACCACAGAAGAAGAAGGAGGAGGAGAAGAAGAAGAATACATGTTTGTGTGCTGTTTGCTAGTTAAAGCAGAGGACCTTAAAGGTGAGAAGGTGATTTGTGTGAACTGACCTGAACAAACTGAGCTCTCTGAGGAGCAGCCTGGTCCTTACAGACGTGGACCAGGATCCTCCTCACTTTGTCCATGCTGCCTCCTCTCCTCACCTGGAGGACAGGTGAGCTTCCCTCTGATCACACCGATCAGCAGCTGATGTGTGGGTCTCCTCCCACAGCAGACAAGTGTTACCCAACGTTAATCATAAAATACAACATGGAGGCTTTGAGGGTCAAAACTATGGAATGCAAAGTCAAAATAAAATAAATAAATAAAATGAATACAAATGTCTATGAAATAAATCCTGAAACAAACAAATAAATAAATAAATGTATAATTATTAAATAAAAGTCCCCGGAAATAAATATTAGTAGTCCTTTGAAAAAACCTTAATTCAAATCCTATTTATTTATTGAACGATATTGAATTAATTAGATATTTATTTTGACATTTATTTACATATTTTATTGCCTCATTTATTTATTTCAGCATTATTTTCAAAGCCATATTACATTGGGCATATTTATTTATTGACTTAAAATTGGATTTCATACAAACAGTTAAATATATGTTAAATATTTTGTGTTAATAAAATAATTTAATAAGCTCACGTGACATCTTAATGATGCTTAATGTTACTTCTTATAGCAGCAGTTAGCATGTTGCTAACACACTAGCTAGCTAGCCTGCTAACTGTCCACGAACATCAACAGCTAACTTTAGCTAACGTTAAACTCCGTTAAAAGGTTCATTCAGCGAGAATAAAACCCTCCGAACAGAAGAGCTTTCTACTTTAACCTCCACAGATTATAATGTCCGTGTTTCCATTGAAACAGAACACAAAACACGTCAGAAACACAGCAGGAGTAGAAACATACTCGATAAGACACCAGCTAACGTCCTTTAGCTCATTTAAACTACATCCGGTTAGGAAGTTCAAAATAAAAGCCGTGCGGGAACAATGGAGCCGAGCAAAAAGGACTCAGATAATTTACTTCAGTGAGAAGAGTGGTAGTAGTGGTAGTGGTAGTATAGTGGTAGTAGTAGTAGTAGTAGTGGTAGTAGTAGTAGCAGTAGTGGTAGTAGTAGTAGTAGTGGTAGTAGTAGTAGTAGTAGTATAGTGGTAGTAGTAGTAGTAGTATAGTGGTAGTAGTAGTAGTAGTAGTGGTAGTAGTAGTAGTATAGTGGTAGTAGTAGTGGTAGTAGTAGTAGTTGTAGTAGTGGTAGTAGTAGTAGTCAGTGGCGGCTGGTCAATAGAGGCGCTAGGGCGCCGCCCCACCTTGAGCCGCAACAAATAAAATAAAATTAATAATAATAACAATAAACTATACAAATTGTCAATATTTGTGTTTTTGAACTATGGAATCACCCAGTAATATGTGTAAAATATGATATCTGCGGTAAATATATGCTTTTCCTGCACGTCCTCTCCGCGTGTGCACATCTCAGCAGCTCTGGGGCGATGGAGAAACTGCCCAGAAGAGGCGGGTCTATGAAGCAGTTTAGCCAATTGCTGATTAAAGATATAAATGTGTCACATACAATTTAGCCAATCAGCGTCCTCAAATACATTCAGCTCAAATTGTATCCATAATAAAAGTTATTGAGGGAAACATCAGATCATGAAAACACAACTCTTTCTAATAAATGAAGAAAGTTGTTTGTGGTCCTTTTGTTGTTCAGACTACAATGAACATTTATTTAAACCAGATGTTGAATCAGAAAACGAATCAAATATAAAGCTTGAGTTTAATCTGTGATCCGTCTTCACTGTTTACATGTTGAACAAAATCTCATCAGTCCGGAAGCGACCCTCACTAGAACCGGAAGTTGAAGCCGGAAGCAATCCTCGCGATCCTACCCCAAGACCAGTTTGAGAGTATGGCCAAATCCCAATGTCCCCCCTAAACCCTCAAGGACTCACTGACGTCACCTGGTGAGTGGGTGAGTGTGAGAGACTGTGAGGGCTTGAGATGGTGTGAATATGAATGTTACCATGAAAACAACAATAAATATGATGTATAATGTGTGTATTTATTGTATACTTTGTACTCCCTGATGTGAACGTCTTCAGGCTCTTTCCTCACTAGATGAGAGGTAACGTCATATCATCTATTTACTCGTTTTGTCAAAACAGCTTCAATGACGAAATCAAACATTTGATGAATAAATAAATAAATATCTTCTGATTTCATGTTTATTTGTTGTTCCATCTTTAACCCTTAATGTTTCTGAGTACATTTAATGACAGGCTGAACACACGTGAGCCGTCCTCTTTGTTTACCTTTTGTTTACGTCTCCATGCGTCCACTGGTTACCCCGTGTTTAACGTCACATTGCAATGATTTGTGGGTAATTCCCTTGTAATTTGAGGGTTTAGGGGGGACACTGGGATTTGGCCAGGGAGTGAGAGACATGAAGCACCTGCTGAGGAATGATATATAGTTATAAATACATCATTATATATACATGTGTGTGTGTTTTATATTATAGTGAATATTATTATATGATATATATATTATATGATATATATATTATATATGAATGAGACATTTACATTTTTAGCTCGTGTGCATCGATTTTTTTAATTTTTCAATATTTCTTTCTGTGTTAACAGAATTCCATTTTGACCTTTGGTTCTAACGTTAGAAGTTGAAGTCCTTTAATAAATCTATAATCTGTCCCAATGAAAGCAGAATGTTTGAGCTCAGCACCATGACAGCGTTAAATAAAGCCTTCTATGTATTAATACTGATATAGATCAGCAGCTAGGACGCAGCGTCAGGCTGCTGAAGGAAACACTAAACAAAGAGGCTTCATATTCAGAACAAATATCTGAGAACTTTTACTGCTGAATGTCTGAGATTAAAGGGCGTATTCACGAGGAAAACTCACAAATGTGTTCATTCTAAAATCATAACTTTGGGTGGAGTCGTCTGTATTTCATAATCCTGTTCCTCTTGAATCTACGAAATATTTATGTAATTATCGATCTTCAATGAGAACAAACAACGTGAACATAAATCTTCAATTTATTGAATACATGTAAAAACAGACGGAACAGTTTTCAGAAACCTGTCGCCTCATAATCACTTATTAATATTCAAACATTCAAACGTGTGTTTCTTTATTCACGTTGTTGAACGTTAACGCGCTCACACATTATTGATACCTGTCACATGAAAACAGAATTAAAAGCAGATTATAATGACAGGCACAGAATGAAAGTACTCTGCTGTATTACTGCAGTACATGTAGTAGTAGTACTCGGTGTACTCAGAGGTCTCCTCTCATTCGCTGCCCAGCAGAGCGACGTCGCTGCCGACCTCCGACGCTGCACCGACCTTCATCTGGAGGTCAAGCAGAGGTCAAACAGAAAGCGGCTCAGCGTCACCTCGATGAACATCCTCTAAATCTGAGATACGCTGGAGCCTACATGTCCCACAATGCACCTGGATAGTGTCTCTCAAACTCGACACATCCAGTGTGTAACAAACACTTTATGTTGTAGACTCTAGAGGATTAAACTGGTTAAAGGTTTTAATACACTTTAAAGTAACATCTGGTGAAATGAGTCCGTTTGATTATTTCTCACTTTTAAACCGTTGGAGAGAAAATATATGATGTTTAAAATGTTAAAGATAATTAACTCTCATCACCTCCACAAAAATATAAATATTCATATTTATGTATAAAAATATACATATTTAAATATGTATACATAAATATTCATATGCATGTATAAATATGAATATTTGTGTATTCATATTTATGTATACATATTCATTTATAAATATGTATACATGATTATTTATACATAAATATGAATATTTATACATACATATGTATACTTATACATATGAATATTTATACATACATATGAATATTTATACATACATATTTCTGTATAAATACAGGTGTTGACGTCTCACCGTGAAGCAGTCCCGGCGTCTGAGGGCTCTGACGGAGAACACGGTGACGGTGACAGAGACACAAACCTGCAGGACCAGCAGAACCAGGAGGAGACCCAGAAGTCCGTAGACCCCCATCTGAGACACCAATGTTATTGAAATGAGTCAGCAATATATTTCATGTACACTCGGTACCAAGAAGAACCAGATCAGAAGACTCACGTCCACCAAGAACAAGTTCCTTCTGCACCGTCTCAGCTGATCCTCCGTGAGCACGAAGCCCCTGAAGGCATCGCTGTCACAGAGGTGTTCGGAGGCGGAGCCGTCAGCCAGCAGCCAGCAGACATAGGCCACGCCCACCAGGGCCAGCAGGACGCTGATCAGGTTTGAGACCAGAGACGCCCAGACCTGGACCCAGAGCAGAGACTCAGACCACCAAAACCATGTCTCTGACCCCACCCACAGACGGGAGTCTGTGGTATAGGTTCATATACTATATATATATCTTTAATCATC